AATCTCGATGTCAAAGACTTCTGAACTTGTCTCTTGTGTCTCAATGGTAGATTCAAACGATTGATCTTGCTCTGGATGTGAATTCCCGACCTGCAACGAAGCTTCGTTTTGGATTACTATGGTTGGCCTACTAATTCCCCACGAAACCGCCAATCGAGTAAGGCTCGCATTTATTTATGCTTGCCCTTGATGATAAGCTTCTATTTGCATGCTGATTTGTCGCAATGTTGCCGCAATGTCTTGATTCGCTTGATTCTCCGCCATTATTGCTTCAAGAAACCTTCTTTTCTCCACTGTGTTTGAATCGGGCTCTTGATACCACTTGATATGATCCTAATTCGAGAATCCACCCAAACTTGGACCAAAAATCAGAATTGCGCAACGTCGAACTCTTATGGGGTTTTCTTCTTTCTTCTTTAACACGAAAATAGATGATAGTCGCGAAAATCGATCAAACAGATCCGAACTCGTGAGAAGGGCCAATTGGTATATGAAACCAATCAAACAATCTCGAACCCATGGATAAGGCCAACCGATATAGTCGATGCTCGCCACAACTAGACGTGTTCTCTAGTTGATAAGAGACCACTCAATTCTCCCGAATCCTCAAAGGGGAGATTAAGCAAAAACGTTCACAAAGGAACTCGAGTAAACACTCAATGTAATTGATATATGAAATCTTGGGTACCAAATTCGTAAGTCTTACCCCTCTATTTATAGAGGTCACAAAAACATAAAACTAACCTAAAAGGAATAGAAAAACAAATCCCAAACTAACTAGTAAAACATAAGATAATCAAAATAAATAATTAAGCACTAAAATCCAATTAAACGCACCGCTAGGCGCTTCCTTCTCCCTCACGGAAACACTTCTGTTTCTTTCTTTCTCCCTGACGGATACGAGACACAAATTCTCCAGCTTTCCTTCCTCTCTTCCATGAGCCAACATCTTGGTCCATTTAATTCTTTCCATCTTCACGTGAGTGAGTGTTGATCCTTCTTCACATGACCATTAATTCACCAACCAACAAAATAAAGCAAGTCCCTTTAATTAATTAATCAACCACAAACCTATGCAAACCCATAAATCATTCACGTTGCCATAAATTAATCCGAGCTTGGCAATAACGTAACTCAGTCAACTTCTTCCGCTGGACCAAACAGAAGCACACCTGTTAATCACACCTTCCAATTTATGCATTTTGAATGCTCACAATTGATTCATATATCGTTGAATCCGAATCTTCATTTTTGGACCACGGGAGTTAAATATCGTGCTAGTCGATATCGCTTCACAGCCCCTTCAACCATATTCCCTCCTTGGCAGCTTGCATCAATGCCATGTACTCCACCTCAATAGTAAACAAAGTAACCGTAAATTGTAGAGTCGCCTTCCAGATAACTACAAAACCTCCGTGAGTGAATACATCACAAGTCATAGACCTCCTCATGTCAACAGCGTGAGTATAATCAGAATGTGAATAACCAACCACTAAGCACTCTATATCACTTTCAAAGCTGATTCCCACATAAAATACCCTTCAAATACCGCAAAATCCTCTCACAGCCTACCAATTTTCCTTTCCGGGTTGCACCATGAACCTATCGAGAACACTTACAACATGTGCAAGATAGAGTCTAATGCATATCATAGCGTACCTCAAACTACCTACTACACTATAGTATGAGACTCAAGACATATACTCCTTCTCGGCTTTAGACTTTGGTGCATAAATTGAGGATAGATAAATATTTGAATCGCTAGGATTATTTAAGGGCTTTGTTGAAGACATGTCAAACCTCGACAATATCTTCTTAATGTAGCTTTTATGTGACAAAAAAGCTTATTATCTCTTCCCCTCTAAATCTCCATACCCAAAATCTTTTGAGCAGCTTCCAAATCCTTCATGTCAACTCAGCTCTGAGAAGACCCTTCAACCTTTGGATATCAAAATTTGACTTCACTACAATGAGCATATCATCTGCATACAATACCATATAGATCATTGAACCATCACTAGTCTTGCTGTGATATACAAAACAATCATATGGACTTCTGTTGTAACCTAGCTCAAACATTTAGTTGTCAAACCTCTTCTATCATTATGTCGGAGATTGCGTCAGTCAATACAAAGACTTCTTCAACTTACAAACATAATCTTCTTTTCTTGGAACGTGGAACTCATATGGTTGAATCATATAAGTCTCTTCTTCTAGCTCTCCATGTAGGAAAGTTGTCTTCATATCCAGTTGTCCAAGCTCCAAGTTCTGATGTGTTGCTAGTAGCACCCTGATTGAAGTATGTCCAAACACTGGTGAGAAAATCTCATTGTAGTCAACACATTCTTTTCGTGTGATGCCTTTTGCATGCAACCAAGCTTTAAATTTAATGCCCTCTGCAAATAATAATCCTTCATTCTTCTTGAAGAAACACTTGTTTGTAACAATCTTCCTTCCCTGTGGTCGTCTGACAAGATCCCAAGTCTGATTTCACTCGAGGGATTCCATCTCAGCACATAGTAGCTTGGCCAACGAAACAACCTCTTTAACTGTAAGTGGCTCAAACACTTTCACTTATTTAGAGACCTAAAAAGCATAAGCAACAACATCCTCAAAGCCATACCTCGTCCGAGGTATTCATACACTAGTTCTCTTTGGTCTACCAGAAGCTATAGATTATTTAGCTTATGCACTGGACACTGAAGATTCAGGCACATCAGAAGCATATGTATGTTGATTTTCACCACCTTGGTGTTGTACCACTCTCCTCTAGAGTATTTTACAACTCCGATTATTCCTGCTTTCTTTCACAACAGTAACCTTCAACATAGGGTTAAACATAGATTTCTAATCAAATATCACATTTCTAATGAGTATCAAGCTTACTCATTAGAAGGTAAATAGGAAAACCAAAAACTTTCAACAAAGAATAATCATCAAGCTTACAAGACCACACCTCATAAAGAGTTTGGCACTCGATACATGTGTGACATCCACGGTTGATAAGATAGCACGCCATATTTACCATCTCTGCCCAAAACCTTCTCTCTCTCCCATCATTAGAGATCATTCACATTGCTCTCTCCAGCAATGTTTGATACATTTGTTCTACAACTCCATTCTTCTGCGAAGTGTCTCTAACTGTCTGATGACGGGCAATTCCTTCATCGATGCAGATTTCGTTGAAAATAAGAACTACAAAACTCCAGACCATTATCAATTTGAAGCTTCTAGATCTTCTTGTCAGTTTTATTCTCCACTAGGAACTTCCACTGGTTGAACTTCTTGAAAGGTTCATTTTTTTGCTTAATAATGAATATCCAAGTAAACCTTGAGTAATCATCAATGATCAACAAAAAATACATGCTGCCTCCAATTGATTCAACTCAAGAAGGACCCTAATAGTTAGAGTGAAGGTAATCTAGTATTCATTTCGTCCGGTGGATACCCTTCTTAAGAAACTTATTGCTATGTAACATCCGAAAGACACAATTTTCGCAGAATTCTAAACCATGCACCTTATGCCCGCTAAGACGATTTCTCGTAGTCAGAATCTATATCCCCTTTTTCACTCATACGACCAAGTCTCATATGCGAGAGAGTGGTCATATCTTACTTGTAAACCTCAGATGATGAAACGACACCAGAACCTGACAACACAGACCCTTGTAACACACAAGATACCATGCTTCACACCTTTCATAATCTTCTTTGAACCTTTGTAGACATACACAACTTCACCCTTTCTCTTAAAATTGACCCTACTGTCAAGTATACTTAAAGAAATCATATATTTGGTCATCTATGGGATATGTGTAACTTCGTTCACAACACATAACGAACCATCATGTGTCCGTACTGTTGAACCCTATTCCAACTACTTTGCAGATAGCTCCATTGGCCATAACCACGTTACGACATCTATTTGCTTGTAGGTTGAAAATAGTCCCTGCTCGGAGACATGGTAAAAGGATGCAGTATCCAGAAACCAAAGATCTCTATGATGTGTCTTCTCATCTACAACCAATGCGAGATCTTCTTTAGAATGGGTGTCGACTTTTGTTGCGGACCCGACATGCTCTTGTTCGATTTGGTTTGAGCCGAATCGAACCAATGTCCACCCCTACACCGACCCGATTTGTTGCCATCCCTACTACCCAATCGGCGACAATACCTTTTACTTTTTTGGGAGAGGAAAATAAAATCTCAATCGTTATTTCAAAACATGAGAATCCAAGGATTAAAAATCGATTCCCAAAGGAACACATTTTGTCATTTACCTTTTAATAATAATAATAATAATATTAATAGCAATGATGATAATAAATGAAATATGAACAAACAAATAGAGTGACTGGTACTGCGTCATGCTTAATGAATTATCAAAATACTTACTCCTTCAGGGCTATGTTTGTCCTTCCACCAAAATTGTGTCCATTCAAATAAAGATGTTAGGCGTAAGGCACACGTTGGGACCTCGACTAATGTCTAGTTCATTTAGATGTCGACTAAGTATATCTAGGCGTTGGACAAAAAAATAACATTTTGTACTACATGATGAACGAAATAACAATTTACAACAATTTCACATTTCAATTCAATTTATTAATATTTATCAGAAAAAATTCAAATGATCAATAACTTGATTAAGCAATAGCTCACAAGCTTATAAAATCATAGGTCAATATCTCACAAAGTTCTTGAGTTAGTGAAAAATATTAATATAGAAGATTAAATTTGTAGATGAGGTTACTTTCCCATTTGATATTGAGCACCTAGCTCTATCTAATTATGCTTAGAAGACATCTACTGTCACCTTACTCTGTCGACGTCTTCTCTATACGTAACTCTCTGTGGAACCTTTATATAAGGTATTTTAGTGTTGTCTAGTGCAGATTAAGCGCGCTTTTTTGAACATTATTTTTAAATTTTAACAAAGGAAAGTAAATTGAGGAAATAAATTTAGATTTTTAGATTTTTCTATTTTCACAGCAGAGAAACAAGAGAGGGCAACAAATGATTTCCGTCTTTCATGCAAAATAGCCTGGCGTTGCCTCAGTCCGCTCCGCTCTCCTTCACTCTCCCCTACAAACTGCAATCAAACAGAAAAAAACCCCAAAACCCTTTTTGGACAGTTTGAAATTCTCACTCACACGGAGATCAGAATTCCAAAAGAATTCCAAATCCCTTTCGCGTTGACGGTGTCTTGGTTCTTGGCGGAGAAGAGGGCTTCAAATTTACTGTGGGTACTCTCCTGTTCACCTGCTTGCATTTCTTGTTTTTGGATTGTGTGGCAGCTCGGAAAGTGAAGGAAAATGAGAGGAGAACGTGAGAGTGTGGGTAGGTGGCTTTTGTTCATTTTTGCATGCAAAGTGGTGTCATTCTCACTTGGTGTCTGTGAAAGCCTCTCAACTGACCCCAGAGTGTAAGAGGCGCCGTTTTCCTTTATAGGTGGCCCGTTTCCGAGCTGGGTCGAGTTTATTTCCCCAGTAATTTGTGCATTCTTGGGTTCTTCGTTTGTGTATTCAGTTCTGGGATCCTTGTAGGGTTTCCCTCTTTCCCCTGTCAGTCAGAGCTCAAAAATGCTGTTCGACATGCTACTGTGGGTTGAGTTACTGGACTACCTCTGGTTCATTTTTTGTTTTTGTTTTCCCCTTGTGAAGTTTCAAAATTTGTTCTAAAAAAAAGCGGACAATGGTTGTTTTGGTGTCTGGTTCCCTCCTTCCTACTCGTTTCACTTGAGTTATGCCAAGACCCGTTCAGCTTCGGCGTAATCGTTGATGTTGGAAGCACATTTGCTTTTTCCATGCTTTGTGATGCCCAATCTAATAAGATCTGCTTGAAGGTGATTCTAACATTATCTTCCCCTTACCTTTTTGTTTGAGGGTCAAAAGTGAAATATCAGAGAACACAATAGAGAAGACAGAAACCAAAATGAAGATAATACCAGAAGCCTAGACGTATTAGCAATCACTTTGAATCAATTGCCTGGAAATCAAGGAATCTTCCGCAGGTATGCATACAAAGACCGATGAAATCGCCATGAAATACTTGGATGATACAATTGTTGGTTTATGTTAGTTATTGGTTTTCTTGTCCAGAATCAGCCTGTGCGTAGATGTCTGCCTATCCTATGGTGTTATGTTACTAGAAATTTCACTATTTGTGTATCTTGTGGAGATTAATCATTTCATCTTTCTTGAAGGAAGCTTCAGGAAATGGAGGAAAATGTTCAATCAACAATCTTAGAAGGCGAGATAGTTGGGATCCGTTTTGGATTGGCAACTCACAAGGAAATTGTTAGTACAGTTCCTCATGCATTTTGATTGTCATTGTTTCTCATAGTTTAGTTTCAGAAGTGGCAAGTTTAGGACAAACTGCATTTACGAGTACGACTGCTGCTTCGTACTCTGAACTTGCACTTTAACTTTTAATTCATTCATTCTTCAACAGTGTGCTGCATCTGTCAGCGAATGTCCTATTAGTCATTCAACTCAGCTTACCAACCCATTCCTTGGGTTGCCTCTGGAATTTGGTAAATGTGAGTCTTGTGGCACTTCCGAAGTGAAAGAATGTGAAGGTACGCTTTTTAGTCTTTGTGATTAATTAATATGCGATGCTTGAGGAGTCATACTAAAGTATTGTATCCCTCATCTTTGCCACTTCAAGGTCACTTCGGCTATATTGAGTTGCCGATACCAATTTATCATCCAAGCCATGTCATTGAGCTAAAGCGCCTGTTGAGCTTGTTATGCTTGAAGTGCTTGAAGCTGAAAAGGAACAAGGTAATTACCAACATATCATCATTCTTACCAGTGATTGATTTTGATAAATTTGTTGAGCATTCAGTGCAAGCACTATGAAGTCTACATGTAGCCATGACTTTCTTCTTTATTGGAACAATCCCATATAACGATCATATTTACCCGAGTGTTATTGCATGCTTATTATATTCTGAATTATAGTAAACAATTATTAGCATTGAGTATAAGGATTTCCTTGGTTGTGATATACAGGTCCAAATGAAGCAGGGTGGCATGGCTGAACGAATGCTATCATGTTGTGAGGTAGTATAGCTGAATTCTCTGTAAAGGAACACTGAAAGAGATTTGTTAGTCTAAGTTGTGTGCTCTTTCTCCTTACAAAATTCATGTAAAATTTTCGTGTCACTTCTATTGCGGTCCAAGTTTGCTTGCTGGCCGTCTACATTTTTCCTTAGTTTGTTATGCTTTGATTGTAACTTCAGAAGAAAAGTTAATTTGTGATTTCCTTTCTAAGCAAGTATGGAGGAATGAGTTTTCTTAACTTTCAGAAAATGTAGTTACCCAGGAATAAGTTCCTGTTTGCTTGTAACTCAAAAGAGGACAGTAGAGAAGCATTTGTTTTGCCATCAGCCAGCAATTATTTGATGTTGAAAATTAGTCATCAATATCTAGGAGATATTTGTCTTTGACTGGACAAAGACCTATGTTGTAGTTCTGTGTCTTTAGAATCTGTGGATCCCAAATTTTCTAGTTTCCTTGAATATGTCCTATTGCCATACATAAAAATTGTGTTTTACTGTTGTATACATGTCTGTGGTTTGAATAACGAAAGCGGCATAAGTCTGAAACTTGTAACTTCTAATTAATCAAGGTGATCTTTTAAGTGTTTTGCCGTATGTTGCAGGAAACTTCTCAAGTTTCTATTAAAGACATTAAGACAGCTGATGGCGCATGTCTTTTACAATTGAAATTGCCAGCTAGATCAAAACTGAGGGACGGTGTGTGGAACTTCTTAGAGAGATATGGCTTCCGGTATGGTTATGGCCATACTCGTACTTTGCTTCCTTGCGAGGTTTGTATCTTATTTTCCTGTTTTTTTTTAATCCCATCTACTTTAGATATAATGTTTCAACATGTTTGCTTCCTTTCGCTATGACTCCGATTTATAGGATTATCACTTCTGTTCCCCCCCCTACCCCCCCCCCCCCCCCCCTAATGATGATAATCTTTGGTGGCATGGATGCCTTATTGTTTCCCCTGTGCTTTGTGTTTGTTTTCTGTCTGCATCTGTATCGATAAGGAAGATATTAACTCGCCTATGTGAAGACCGTTATCCTAATTGGCCACTCTTCATTATGCTACATGTTCAATAAAGTTTTACTGCCTCAATTACCAGCTGTGACTTGGAGAATTGCCTGTTGCGCCTTGCTGGCCAGGTGGTTCTAATTTAATGTATTTGTGTGGCAGGTCATGGAAATGCTCAAGAAAATTGTCGGGGACACAAGAAAAAAGCTTACTAAGAAAGGCTATTTTCCTCAGGATGGATACATTTTACGTTATTTGCCGGTTCCTCCAAATTGCCTCTCTGTGCCTGACATCTCAGATGGTGTCAGTGTCATGTCTGCGGTGAGACATGAATGTTGAATTGAGTTGATTGTCTTGCTTTGATATATGTTGAATTGAGTCGATTGTCTTGCTTTGATATCTGTCTTATTGGTTGCATTTGTAATGCTCCTCTTTGCTGTACTTGCTACAGGATCTTTCTATATCAGTGCTGAAGAAAGTCCTAAAGCAGATTGAGATTATCAAAAGTTCTCGCTCTGGTCCCCCTAATTTTGAATCTCATGAAGTTGAGGTCAATGATCTACAATCAGCAGTTGATCAGTATCTTCAAGTTAGGGGTACGTCAAAATCTTCTCGTGATGTAGATGGTGCTCGATTTGGGGTGAAGAGGGAGGCCAATGAATCTGCTACTAAAGCATGGCTTGAAAAGATGAGGACCTTGTTCATAAGGAAGGGTTCTGGATTCTCATCTCGTACTGTGATCACTGGAGATGCCTATACAAGAGTGAACGAAATTGGAATTCCTCATGAAATTGCTCAGAGAATCACAATTGAGGAGAGGGTTAATGATCACAACATCAGACACCTGCAAGACCTTGTGGACAACAAGCAATGTGTGACTTATAGGGATGGTTCTTCGACGTATTCTCTTAGAGAAGGTTCCAGAGGTCACACTGTTCTGAAGATTGGTCAGATTGTCCATAGGAGGATTGTGGATGGTGATCGGGTTTTTGTGAACAGACCACCCACGACCCACAAGCACTCATTGCTGGCGTTGTCTGTTTATGTGCATGATGACCACGTAGTGAAAATAAATCCCCTCATTTGTGGACCATTAAGTGCTGACTTCGATGGGGATTGCATTCATTTGTTCTACCCCCAGTCTGTTGCTGCCAAAGCTGAAGTTTTAGAACTTTTCTCGGTAGAGAAGCAGCTGCTCAGCTCACATAGTGGCAACTTGATTTTGCAACTATCCACTGACTCCCTGTTGTCATTGAAGTCCATGATGAATACATACTTCTTTGATAGGGCTGCTGCTCAGCAACTTTCGATGTCTTTGGCTTGTTCTTTGCCATCGCCTTCTCTGATAAAGGCCAAGCAGGGGGAACCTTATTGGACTGCTTTGCAGATACTAGAGTCGGCCTTTCCTGATTCTTTCGAGTGCTCTGAGGACAGTTACTTGGTCAGTAACAGCTACTTCCTAAAGGTGGAAAGTGACAGGGATGTGCTGCAGAATATCCTTAACGACTTAGCAACTTCCATTTTCTTTCAAAAGGGTCCTGATGCTGTCCTCAAATTCTTCAATGCACTGCAGCCCTTATTGATGGAAAACTTGTATGCTAAAGGTGTTAGCATTGGTTTGGAAGACTTCTTACTGTCCAGAAGTGTTAGAGAGCGCATTCACTTTGAGTTTAAGGTTATTTCTCCCCTGCTGGGTAATTTAAGGTCGACCTATAATGAATTGGTTGAGTTGCAGATAGAGAATCATATCCAGCAAGTGAAACAACCAGTTGTTGATTTCATTAGACGTTCTGCTTTAGGGGATTTGATACACTCTAAGAGCGATTCGGGTCTCAAAAAGGTGGTGGAACAAATTGGATTCTTGGGCCTACAAATTTCAGATCGGGGTAAATTCTATTCGAAGGTGCTAGTTGAGGATGTCGCCTCGCTATTTAGGAGCAGATATCCTCTCGATGTTGTTGATTACCCTTCTGCACAATACGGATTGTTGAAGAGCTGTTTTTTCCGTGGGTTAGATCCATATGAAGAGATAGTTCATTCAATATCCAGTAGGGAGGTTATTATTCGATCTTCAAGGGGCTTGTCGGAACCTGGAACATTGTTCAAGAATTTGATGGCTATCCTTCGTGATATGGTTATTTGTTATGATGGAACAGTAAGACATGTTTGCAGCAATTCAATCATTCAGTTTCAGTATGGGTTGAATGCGGGAACGAAGTACCAGAATGCATTTGCTGCTGGTGAACCTGTTGGTGTTCTAGCTGCAACTGCAATGTCAAATCCTGCATACAAGGCAGTTCTTGATTCTAGTCCCAATAGCACTTCTTCTTGGGAGCTGATGAAGGTAGTTATTATTTCAATTGAAATATCACTTTTCCCTCTGCTATAGTAGCTGCTTATGTGTCCTTTTTTGTTTCTGTTCAGGAAATTTTGCTTTGCAAAGTTGGTTTCAAGAATGATCAAAATGACCGGCGTGTGATTATGTACCTTAATGAGTGTGGATGCGGAAGGAATTATTGCCAAGAAAAAGCGGCATACAGGGTTAAGAATCACTTGGAAAAAGTTAGCCTCAAGGATATTGCAGAGTCATTTATGATTGAGTAAGTCCCATCTTTGACATCAAGTTTATTCATTCTTCGTATTTAAATTGTTCCCACTTGAATGTTCCGCCTGGTTTTTATAGCCACTGTCGTTATTGTACTAACATTTACAAGCTTCAATTTTTTTTAATGCCACAATATTGACTGCTACTTTGGTCATTGCTAGCCATTACTACCTGTGTAGTGTGATCTATTATCAGCTGTGATACCCATTTGATCAATGTCGTACTGTGGATATTGACTGCATTCTTGCAAGCAGGTACAAGAGGCAACCTACTGGAGCAAATGACTTTGGTGTTGACTCTGGCCTTGTTGGTCATATTCATCTTAAAAAGGTTACATACTATTCTGAAACATTCCTTTTTTCTTTACCCACTGTCCCACTTTGGCTACTGATTTCTGGCTTACTTCCGAATAATTGTCATTGCTGGTAACTTGTAACCTGAGTTTTTGTGGGCAGGTTAAACTTCAAGAGTTGAAGATAAGAATGGATGACATTTTAAAAAATTGCCAAGATGTTATCAAATTGTTCAGCAAGAGAAAAAAGCTTGGCAGCCTTTTCAAGATGACAGCTTTGTCTGCAAGGTTAGTCTTCTCTCTTGAGTATCTGGTGAGGCGAATTCTTGCTGTTTAGTGCCACCAGGAGTTGCAACTTTTTTTAGGAATGCTGCCCCTTGCTCCCACCTTCTGTGTTGTCTAGATTGTAGCTGATTCATGCTGCACTTAGTTTCCTATTTGCATAAAGTGATGATCGTTTCTTTTGGTTGAAGTTGTTGTAACATATTTCAAACTCCAATATGCCGAAAGCCTCATTTATGTGTGATTGCAAGGGGACTGTAAGTTTGGAACCCTTCTAGAGCTCATGTTTATTTGAACTTAATTTGGGCCAACTTTTCTTTCTTTAGCTCTTCTTGTTTGATCTTTATGTTGAGATTGTTATCTTTTTCCAGGTTCATGGCTTACACTGGTCCCTCTCTTTCTCTCTTTCGTTTTGAAATTTTATGTTATCTATAATGAATGACACGGCTATCTGCTATACACTTCTATCTTGGCTTTACTTTTAAGTTTAAACAAAATCATGCTCCATTTATTTACTTTGGGATTTGATATTGGCTATTGAAACTTTTTAGTCATTGTTTCACACTGGCCTTCATGTTCATCTAAAGATGTTAGCCTTCTCTCTCAAGCCATGTCTAGAACCATTTCTGAGATGGAGCTGTGTACGTGGTTGCAATTACTAGCTTCTCTTTGAACATTCTGAGCACCAGCCTTCTGACAAGTTTACTTGTTCTTAGCAGTGAGTATTGCCCCTTCCAGGCGTCCTGTTCTGATGAGTCCTTGGGGATGCCCTGCTTGATGTTCTGTTTGGGAGAAACATGTGATATCAACTTCGAAAGGACAATTGAAGTTCTAGCTGACATGGTTTGCCCAGTTTTGATGGAAGCAATTGTCAAAGGTGTTGCTTTTAGTTCTTTCTCTTCAGCCTTCCTTTATTCAATTGATCACATCCTCTGGTTAGTACTTAAATGTGCATGTATTGGAGAGCAGATTGTCTTCTGCAGTCATGTGCTGTCTTTGTCGATCTACAGCTGACATAAAGTGATACGAAAATGCCTTATCATCTTGAATGTTGGTCCTTATGTTATGGCTGTCACTATTTACAGGAGATCAACGGGTTTCTTCAGCAAACATAATTTGGGCTAGTCCAGATACCACTTCTTGGATAAGGAACCCTTCAAGGGCTCAGAAGGGAGAAATTGCTTTGGATATTGTTCTGGAGAAAAGGGCTGTGAAACGAAGTGGTGATGCGTGGAGGACTGTGCTTGATTCATGTCTTCCTGTTCTTCATTTAATTGATACTACACGTTCAGTCCCATATGCTATAAAGCAAATTCAGGAATTGCTGGGAATATCTTGTGCGTTTGATCAAGCAGTTCAGGTATCTTACTTTTATCTTTACTTTTATCTGCTGCTTATTCGGAAAACTGTAGACAGTCATTGCTTTCTCCCTCCTATGCAGTCCATTTCTGGGCACATGATTTATCTCTTGAGAGTGATTGATTTACTTATGTACCTGTCTGTGTAAAGGCTTCTATTGTGCCTTGTTTTCTTACAAGCCTGTTTAGCGGGTTGCTTGTTTGTTGGATCGATGTTTATTAGGCTGGAAATATCGTGAGTCCTGTGGAAGAACTCATTACTTTCACTTTGTTGGAACCGATTGCAGCGCCTGTCAACATCAGTGACAATGGTAGCGAAGGGTGTGCTTAAAGAGCATCTTTTTCTGTTGGCCAACAGCATGACATGTGCTGGAAACTTAATTGGCTTCAATTCTGGAGGATATAAAGCCTTGTCTCGCTCATTGGATGTCCAAGTGCCATTTACGGAGGCAACCCTATTTGTATGTAACTTGTGTTCTAAATATATACAAACATGAAACACCTTAAAAAACGAATTCCGTCAATGAGCTAAACAAACTGTGGTTCGTATTTTTGCTCAGACACCAAGAAGATGCTTTGAGAGGGCTGCAGAAAAGTGTCATGTAGATGCTCTATCGAGCATCGTGGCATCTTGTTCATGGGGTCGTCCAGTTGCTGTTGGTACCGGGTCCCGGTTTGACGTCTTTTGGGATAACAAGGAGGTCAGAACTTTGTTTCAATTCCATGCTTCTTTCTGAAAGTGCTGATTAGGTCATAGGTTGATAGGTTCTGTTTGATACAATTATAGTTTCAAAATGAAGTTTCTTTTTAAAAAGGTGAATGTTGACCTTAGAGTAACCTAGGGTGGTAAAGCTAAATGCTGTCTGAAGTTTCACAAAACCATCTCTTGGGATTCACATAATTTTCCATTTCCTTATTTCACTCTTTTTTCCCCTGACCTTAGTTTGGCACCAAGAATGAGATCACAAAACCTTACAATCACCACCACCATCACAAATTTGGTGGTTTTATACTTCCTTGACAAAATCCAGTAGTACATATTCGGTTTCAGTTCAGATTGTTTGCGCTCTAGCTGTTATTACAGCAGTACATAGTTTTGTACATGTCGAATATTTCTGTGCTTCATCTGCAACAAATTATATGCAATTCGTATAACAAATTACTCATCTCTTCTTTTTCACACAAATTCCTTGCCTCTACCTTCAAGAAGCAAGAAACTGTCACACCGAAAAAAAAAAAAAGCAAGAAACTGTTACTAATCTCTATCTCGGGTTTTAGTTTAAATAGCTCATGTACCAAACTAGTCTATTGCACACTGTCTTTCACCTTTTGATATAACCACATGGATTTTCTGTTATTCAAGTTTCAGATTCATAACCAATGATGTCGCCACCTTTTGCTTTTAATTTATTTTGGCATTTATATGAAATGAATCTCGTTATCTTCTATCATGCACTTATTATCATGGAAATATTACTGTCTTAGCAGTCATCCTTGAATCAAGATGAACCAGTGGATGTCTACAGCTTCCTCAACATGGTCCGAAGTAGTAAGAATGCAGAAGATATGATTCCAGGTTCTTTGGGCGTGGAAGTGGACGATCTTATTCCAGTGGATGAGATTGATGACTGGAACTTGTCCCCTGATCGAACTGGTACTGATAAGCCCACTTTTGAAGACGCTGCTGAAATTGATGTTCTGGACCAGGCTGATGGTAGTTGGGATGTGGGTACTGCGAAGGAGCAGTCTTTTGGATGGGGAGCAGCCACTAGAACCCAAGAAGAATCTGGCAATTCTGGCTGGGACAATTCTAGCTGGCAGATGAAGAAGAAACCAGAATTTGACAAGCCTGGTTCAGATTGGACTGTAAATGCCCAAGAGGAAACACAGAATCAAGAGTCTTCTGTGTGGGGGGCTGCTGCCACCAAAAGAACACTAGAAGAATCTGACAATTCTGGCTGGGATAAACCTGCTGCTTGGCCATTGAAGAACAAAGCAGAGACTGACAAGACTGTCTCCGATTGGACTTTGGAAACTGCTAAACCCCGAGAAAAGCCTGACCATCAGCAGTCCTCTGGATGGGGAGCAGGTGTGACCCGAAGAACCAAAGAAGAATATGAGAATTCTGGTTGGGATAAGATTGCTGCTTTGCAGACAAAGAAAAATCCAGAACTTGACAAGCCTGGCTCAGAATGGTCTGTAGATATATCTAAACCCCGAGAGGAACCTGACCATCAACAACAATCTTCTGGATGGGAAGCAGCTACGACCAGAAACCATGAAGATTCTGACATTTCTGGCTGGGATAAGCCTGCTGCTTGGCAGACAAAGAAGAAACCTGAATTTGACAAGCTTGGTTCAGATTGGTTTGCTGCAGATACATCTAAACCTCAGCATGAACCTACAAATGAGGAGTCTCCTGGATGGGGAACATCTGCCACTAAAACTCAACAAGAATCTGGCAAGTCTTGCTGGGATAAAGATAAGGAAGAGTCTTCGAGAATAGTAGGTGATTCAGAAGAGTCTGGTGCCTGGGGAAGAAAAATCGAGAAAGGTGATGCTTCAGGCAAATATAACTCCAGTGATTGGGGGTCTGCACAGTTGGATATTTATGGAGCTAAGGAGAAGACATCGGCTTCTTGGGGAGCTGTTAGTAAGGAGGATGGTGGTGCTCTTGCGGATGGAAGGACCTCCCTGGATGATGGACACTCACATGGCTGGGGCTCATCAGGTGTGAAAAAAAATCAGTCTGATGGCTCAAGAGCTTGGGGTAACAATCAGCCTGAAGGGTCAAGAGGTTGGGGACCTGTTAGTAAGGATGATGGTGGTGCTGTAGCATATGAAAAGACCTCTCAGGATGAACCTTCACATGGTTGGGGATCACCAGATTTAAAGAAAAATCGATCTGAAGGCTCTAGAGGTTGGGGTAAAACTCCTGACTGGAAACCAAAGAAGAATTACCCTCCTAAATCTCCAGGTATTGGGAATGAATTCAACATGGGTCCAATGTTCACGGCTACTAGGCTTCGAGTGGATATGTTCAGTAGTGAAGAGCAAGACATCCTTGCAGTTGTTGAGCCGTTGATGCTGTCCATCAGAAGAATCATGCATAATACTGGGTAAGTTCATATTTTCTGGGTGTTATGGACAGTTATGAATTATGATGGTCATTCCACGGGAAAACTAGAAAGCATATAGGTAGTTTTGTGCATTAGCATTATTTGAATGGTGTCTAGCACAATGTGAAACTACTACCTACTGTTATTTGCCCCCGGATATTCTGCTATAATCTATACGTCCACTGAGAGAATTACTGAAAATTTCTCTGTAAAGGTACAATGATGGGGATCCATTATCCGCTGATGATCAGTCATACATTGTAGACAGCGTCTTCAATTACCATCCTGACAAAGCAGCAAAGATGGGTTCCGGCATTGATCATATCACTGTATGTGCTCTTGGCCACACCTTTACAATATTCAATTTTATATGTAGTGTGTTGTTCATCCAGCCTATTCATGATCTGCTTTGCCTTAACGGTGGATGCCATCCGTGACCTGTTTTGATAAATTTATGAGGTTATATATGAGAATATTTCATCACTACTATCGTTATTTGTTCAGTTTTTATATCTGAAATATGTCGTAGAATATGATGGCAATGACAATTTCTATCTAGAAGATAACAAACTGGCAATCAGGTTGTATCAATTAGGGGAGCGTGATCTTTGGCTCTCACTAGGTATAAGATACTTTCTGCTTGGTGTGCTACTGCTACTGATCATAGTCATGGAAAGTACAAGTGCTTGTATTACTTGAGCTCATTTCATCTCGGTTCGGTAATATCAGAGTAAGTCAGACATTGGTTGCCATCAGGAAGTGAGAGCTGTGATCATTGCGTCGTGGCAGACCTGGCTTTTTAATTTATAGCTTTCTATTCTGAACTTTACAATGCTAATTCCGTTTTGTGTTTCATACTGCCTTGCTTCCGACAGATTTCGGTGATGATTGATCTTCCCTCTTGGGAGAGTACAGTAGTGAGCAGTTAGTCTTCTTGGTCAATTTGTAAAATTTTGGGTATTTGATGTAACAGGTTAGCAAGCACACCAGCTTTCAGGACACCAGATGCTTCTTTGTAGTCTCCACTGATGGCTCGAGGCAGGACTTCTCATACCGCAAGTGTGTGGAGAACTATGTAAAAGAGAAGTTCCCAAGTCTTGCGGAGGAGTTCAATGGCAAGTACTTTGCCAGGCGCACAGGTGGAGGGAATCGGCAGAGGAGGGCTGAGTCACCATCTACTCTGGGGAGCATCCCAGAGACTCCTGGAGACGGGAATAGCCCTTTCCCGTAACTTTATGGCGAAGGACAAGCTGATTTGCGTGTGTAGTAGTAGAGGCTTAACAAATTCATCTGCTTTGATTCTGAAGTGTGTATAGAAGGCGAGGCAGATGAGTTTCTTTTGGGTATTGCCAACATGGATGCACTCTCACCACAAGGCCTCCTTCATTTGGTTGGCCCTTCTCCCGGATTTGTGTTGGCATGTTAATGTTAATAGCTAGCCTAGAGTAACAGCAGCTTAGTACTGGTAGGCTAACTCTAGCAACGAAGGAGGCCGCAGCTCATCTCATCACTTTCGACTGTTTGTGTGTGTCCATATGCACAATATAGTTAAAATGTTTATTCAGTAACTCAGCGCTCTCTCTTTCTCTCCCCCCTACCTGTGTGCCATATCATATATGGTACTTATGATTTCTGAATGATTACAGTATTTTAGATAGTTAAGGGATGGGGATAATGGGGAGGGGTCTGAGTGCGCATGGTCGCTGGGCCGTGCTTGGGCCGGCACAGCACGGATACGCTTCAGGCCTATTATTACGTGCCGTGCTTGGCACGGCCCGTCAGTTTTCGTGTCGTGCCATGCAAGTCTATTTGTTACTTTTGTTAGGCCCGGCTCAGGCCTTGGCACGACTTGAATCGTGTCGTGTCCATTCGTGATCATGCAGTGCACATATTTGTGTTAACGAAAATGAAGAAATTGAAAGAAGGAATGAAAAGGAAGGAGAAAATTGGATGTAGAATGAAAGTATTAACCGAGAATGTTTGAGAAATGTAACAACAAATAGTTAAAGAAAATTGGAAGTATAACGAGTGTGAAGCAAGGTTGTTAACCCGCGGGTTGACCCACGGGTCGACCCAATTTGACCCTGACCCGGTGAGAAAAACGGGTCGCACGCACCCGCCGGGCCGACCGCTATTAGGTACCGGGTTGGAGGTCAAATTGTGTTATTTTTTTCTTTAGTTTGCGAAATGCGCCTATTTTCCAATTTTTCTTTTCGCCTAACTCAATCTTTGGAATACTAAGTTGAACATTTGAATATTTATGTTATATAAGTGTGTGTGGATTTTCACTATATGTTAGATCTAAGTACAATATGTTATTTTTGTGTAATATTATATGTTATAACTCATATGTTAGATAAGATTTGATATAATTTATGAGGATAAGTACAATATAATGACTCTTTCTATATTTCCGGGCCAAACCGGGCTAAAACGGTTGACCCATTAACCCTTGACCCACTAGCTCGACCGGGTCTGGGTCAACCCGCGGGTTGACAACCTTGGTGTGAAGTTACTTTGTTTAATTCTTCTTCCGTTTTTTGTTATGGTAGTAATTACATATACATCTTATTATCACTTCTAACGACAATAAAATAATTATTTTTGCTACTTATATTTTGCAATATTTGAACATATTGTTCTTTATATATTTATTTTTTATCAAATTAATATTCTTTTTGTGCTATGTCCGTTCTTATACTCAATAAGGCTCTAAAAATATTTGGCCCGGCATGGCCAATTTACAAACCGTGTCGTGTAAGTCCATGGGCGGCCCGGCGTGGTGCCCACGTACAGTTTGAGGTTGGGATTTTCAGTGCTGGAAAATAGGGATCTAAATTATGTGGAATTTGGGGACGATGAATTAAAACTTAAGGGTTAACAGAGTCTTTTAGCCCCAATTCAATGATACCATGCTAACCGGATTTCACCACTAAAGATAAATACTTATGGTGCTACTTAACTTCTCAAATTGGGGAACGGGTAGCATTGAAAAACAAATAGGGCACCAGGTATCATTTGAAGCGAATTTTATCGTATTATGTCTGAAATTCTGTTCACCTAACTAATGTAAATAGCAATAAAAATATTTTATTTTATCAATAGCTCACTTGTTTGACCAAGAACTCATAGATACCAAAAGATTACAACCAAATAATAGCCATTGTCTTAAATAAAAACCAACACAAAGCTGCAAGAAACAAAAGAGCCTGTCTAGCCACCAAGCGGGCATTTAGATTGTTTTGCCTGCTGACTCGCCACGGATACACCGCGAATTAACCCCGACTAGAGTCACTAGAGCCCAATTTTTTAAACTCTAGCCGGGTGCAGTATAGGGCAAGTATTTAATCGTCAAACTCGGGCCGGTCCATGTACCCTAATTCAATCGCTTAGGTTGTTATCTAGCTAAACGGTTTTGAGTTTAAATCTAAGAAAACTACAAAGTAAATAAACAAGGAAAGTAAATTGAGGAGAATTCTACTTGAGAGGACTTCACCTGGGTATTGCTCCTAGTCTCATATTAAGAAGCAATGAACTAAACTCTAGTGTGAAGGATGTGTTCTTATACTGTGAGGCGGATGCAACTGGCTAGGGATAAACATTCCTAGTCGATCGATTAAGGATTGCGACAAAAAGCTAGGAAACATAGCTCTCTTAACCGATCAACCAAGAAAATCCTAACTGTTTACACCTAAAATATTTTTGGCCTGAATTAAATGCCGCATTAATTAGTCTCGGCATTTAATTCGATATCGCATGGCCAAAACGATATCGTTTGGAGTCGAGCAATACCGCGGAGAATTTAAGCGGTGCCGCCAACCTCAAAGCTCGACGGCATTGCGAGACTGGGAAACGGTGTCGTTTGGCTAAAACGGCACCGCGAATAAACCCAACGACACCGCGGTTCAGAAAAACGGTACCGCAAGGGAGCTCACCGGTACCGCGACACTAGAAACGACACCGTTCACCGGAAAACAAGATGGGGGCCGCGCGTTTTGGTATTGGTGTTGGATAAGGAGTTTTATTATTATTATTATTATTATTACTATTATTATTATTCCTTGTGGGAAGGGGAGAAGCGGTACCGCATGGAGACAAGCGGCACCGCGGGGAGTTAAAACGGTACCGCAAAGAAGCTCAGCGGTACCGCGGTACTGGAAACGATACCGAAAATCAAAAGGGGGCCGCGCGGTTAGTTTGGTATTGGAAAAGGAGTTTTGTTTATAATTATTATTATTTTTATTCCTTGTTGGATGGGGAGAAGCGGCACCGCGGAGAGCTAAAACGGTGCCGCGGAATTAAAACAGTACCGCGAGGAAGCCCAACGGTACCGCTATACTAGCAAACGACAGTGTTTAATAATAAACAGTGTCGCGGAAGAAAAAAAACAAATGGAGCTGGTTGGGAAAGAAAACGACACCGCAAGGCTGGAAGCGGAGTCGTTTAATATTAAAACGATGTCGCGGGTAGAATCAAGCGGAGCTGTTTGGGAAAGGAAACGACATCGCGGGATCATGAAAACAACTCACGTAAAGTTCACGCGAAGCAGTTTGAGGAGCGAAGCGGTTGAGACACGTGGGATTTCACAACGGAGCAGTTGAGGAAGCGATTCCACCGAGCGTGAAGACTACGAAGCAGTTTTTCGAATAAAAGCAGTGGAGCAAGGAGAGAGAAAAGGGGACAACCAAATCAACACAGATCAACTCTGTTCAAACTTTACCTTTTCTCTGTAACTCCTTCGCGGAGCTCTCCTTCCAGGAAGGATCTCCATAGTTGTAGTCTTAGTCGTAGTCGCGGAGCTCTCCACAGGAATCTCCATAGGAGTAGCGGTAGCATAGATTCCTCAAAAACTCAAACACCCTCGTTCGAACGTAGTTTGGAGAGGTGCGAACCGCAGTAACGGTCGCGTTGGTTAGAAGTCAGAGGTGCATCGATCAGATCAACATCGCCCGGCGGTGGATATTTGACGGTCACGTTGATTTCACCATTCAGAGGTGCATCGATCAAATCAACATCGCACTACGGTGGATATTTGACGATCGTCATCATTTTCAGAAGTCACTTGCACCGATCAAATCAACACCGCCCGGTGGATATTTGACGGCCGTCTCGATTTCAGCTATCAGCGGTGCATTCGATCAACGGCACCGCAAGAGTTTCCACCGCGAAACATCAAATCAACATCGCCGGAAACGAATTCGGCACCGGCGGTGGCATTTGGTTTTCTCGGGAAACACTAACTCTTTTAGTCGACCAATTTAGGATTGTTACATTAAGTTAGTGGACTAACTCTCTTAACCTTTCGAGTAAGGATGACAACAATAGGCTAGAGTCTAGACGATCTAACTCCTCTAACCGGTCGACTAAGGATTGTGAATCCAAGCCCTTGCATCTTAACCCACACGACGGATAGACCAATCACGCTAGAATCATGGTACTACTCCGATACCTGAGGTTTTGGACCTAGATAAACCTAGACGGGGTTACCCTAGAGGCTAGGTCAAGCTCCCTATGGGCCAAAAGGGAATTTCCACCCACTAGGCTAATTTTGACACAACAAAGAGATAATGCAAGCAATACTCACTAGTCATGATTAATTTAAGGTTTGTCCTCAATTGTCTAGGTGGGTGTGATAATTGTCGAAAACATATTGATTTTGTATGCTTAATGTGATTATTACATGATATGTTTGAGACATATAATGCTTGTTTTAAGGCCAACTAACTACGGAATGGTTATATAATCATTACCACCATGCATTAGAATGTTGATATATTTCAGGTGGAAAGATAGAAATTGTGAAAGCACAAGAAGAACTGTGGAGCGGACTGAATTAATTGGACCGGACTTGGATCCGAAGATCCAATTCTTTGTCTTTCTTTCATGGGACTCGGAAAAGGATTACTTGCTTGGGGGCAATTAAGCAATTAATTTTGGACGAGAGAAGGGAATTAGAGAGCCCAACTCTTTTGTCTCGTTGCAGGGGGCATTTTGGAGGGAGCATTTTTGTGGCCCAACTTCTTTGGCCTGTAAGGGAATTCTTTGGACGAGAGGGAATAATTGGGACTTGAGACAGAGAGCAAACAGGCACAAGGAGACGGACTCGCGAGCAGAATTGCAGCTGAGCTAGAGCGCGGAGCAGCAGATAGCGATCGGAGCAAGAAGGAATTGGAGCCAGATCGTTCGACAAATTCAGTATTCTTTTCCTTTTGTTTCGATTCGTGACATGATGATTATGAACATGATTGTGTGCTTTATTTTCGTCATGAACTAAACCCCAATTTCTGGGGGAAACACTATAGGATGTAGCTATTTCTAGAATTGATGGATTGATTCATATCTCTCTTCTTCCAATCTCTATTGCATGAAATTGCTTAATGCTTTGTGTTGACTGGTCACCAATACAATGAATCGTAGTTAATTAGGTTTTTAGCGATAGTGAAACCCTAATAACTGAACATATTTCATGTGACATAGTAACTTATCGAAGCGACAGTGGATTAAATAAGGTACTATGCGGTCTTGATTGGGATATCGTTCTTCATGCTAAATAATTAACTCATTGAGCTATGACAGTAGGATTTGATTTAATTGTTTAGTACGTAGTAATTCCCGACAGGGATAGCTAGCACAGCAGAGATATCCTGGCTGTAGAGATATGGGTTAAACTGATTGGAATATGTGAATTAATTTTGATAT